TCATCTGATTGGCTACTCACAGTATATTCAATCATGGGAGTGGTTACATTAAAACACTGAGAATCATGGCCCAGCCAAGTTGACACACAATCTTAACCATCACAAGGAGTGTGCTGTCACAGTATAGGGAGAGCAATTAGGGTCACATAACAATGTATGTATAAATTTTTGTGTGAGAGACTAACTTGAATTGCAAACTTTCACTTTAAACTGTAACAATAAAAGTAATTGTTAACAACAACAAAAAAAAAAAAACAGAGAAAAGAGAAAAGTAAAGGTTCTTTCCAGGAGAATTTTGGCAAGAAGAACCTTCATTAGGAACATGGTGGATCTGAGCTTCAGCCTTCCCACCTCTAGGAGGATGATGGAAACGCAGCAATGAGGAATGCTCACGAGGACCTCCAAGTAAGACAGTAAGTTACCAGGCAGCCTGGTCTGCATATAGCTGCCACTGGGACTATGCGACTCTTAGCCTCTCTGTGTTTTTATTTTTCTTCTCCCACTGGAAAGCTGAAGGATGCTAGAAGTGGAATAATGGTTGAGCAATCATGATTGTAGCCCTGGTATTGGTTAGGCGAGGGTGTATAGAAGACTTTGTATACATTTCTATACATTTGTGGACACATTCCTTCTCTTCACTTTCCACAGCACCCCCGCAACCAACCAAGGCAATAATAGAAGAGTGAGATGGCATGATGAAGACCATATTCACAGTGCTGTGTGGAAAGATGAAATTCCTACAGATAAAGAAATGGAGAACTGGTAGGATGAAACCTCAGGGAACTGGTTCAAAACCACAGTAAGTGTCCTGGAAAAATGTACATAATATGCTGGAGAGACAAGTCAGAGGGAGTTGTGATAGTCTCAGTCTATGTACTTTGCTGGGGACAGGGGGAACTTGCAATCTGTTATTTATTTACGTATTTATCTATTTGTTTGTTTATTTTACTAGAAGTAAACATCCTTGAACAAGTAAGGGCAGATTCAGAGAAGCAACAAAAAGGGAAAAGGCTCACTGCAGAGAGTCCAGGGGAGGTTTTCTAAAGCAAAGTTGGAAATTACAGCCAAAGGAGTTGGAGCAACTCCCCACAGCATGGCTTGGTTTGACTCACATTGAATGTGTATATGTGGGGAGCGGGGAGGGATCAAGTCTCTGGAGTCCTTGTCAGAGGGGCAGGCTGGGTCTGCATCAGATAGGAGCTCCCAGAACCTTATAAAAGGAAAATCACGTCAACCATATTCAGTTGATTATTTGGAGGAGAGCTTTTGAATGGAGACAAAGGGGATTTAGGAAATCCATATTTGGCACAAATATAAGAAATCATGTCAACGGTCCTTTCTTTAGAATTCTTCTAAAGCTCAGTAGAAGGTCAGAACAGAACACTTTGTGGAGTCTGTTCTCCAGCCTTAATTCCACCTTGTCACTCTTTCTTGCATCCTTCTTTTCACACTTAGGTTCCTTATGGGAGAAGGTATGACAAGACTTGGCTACTGAATTCTATCCAGAGCAATGAAGTGTTCTCTTCACCCCAGTCTATGTTATACAGGCTGGTCAAGCCACATGACAAGGCACAGGACAGGGGATGGCCTGGATCATCAGGGGCCTTTAAGCCTCCAACACTATTGCTGTTGCCTCTGCTCCCTGTAGTTCCACTGTGGAAAAGCATGCCCAGTTCTTTGTCCAGGATGCTAGCACTGCCTTTGCATTGAAGGCTGTCAACTACAAGATTTGTGATGAAGAGAATCAAAAGATGTTTACTGAGGGAATTAACTGTACCTAGCCTGGAGGCAGGAAGACAAACCAGGGGCTAGACCATCTTCTTTGGGATTAGAGTTCCTGGTACTTACCCTGCATCTCTTTCCTGCAGATATCCATCATTGTTAGCCCTTCTTTTGTACCCTACGCTGTGCAGAATAAGTTGAAGCCAGAACAAGTGGAGCAGCTAAAAGTAATGCAGACTCAAGGCATGCTGTGTGCCCACACCCAGACCCACCTCTTTTTCCCCACCCCGGTTTCCCCATCACCACCACCACCACGACTGCCTCAGAGCTACTACCTCCATCTCTGTCTCTGCAGTTGACCGTGAATAAACAATGCGATGTCTCCCAGCAAGCTCTTGACATCCAGACCTTCTGCTTTGACCCAGGTATGGCTGACAACAGTAATTCTAGGGCAGGCTAGGGCAGAGGGGTATGCCGGGGGGGGGGGTACTTAGGGATGCTAACTTGGGGAGGAATTGGTGCTGGTGCTGGTCCAGCTGGTCTGTCTCAGCATTCTGACTCCTTCTTCTCGGCTTCCTGAAGACTTGATAGACCATGATAGTCACATGATCCTGAATCAAAGCAACCACATGGTTGCCTCACTGAAGATTATAGAAGAGAGTTTCCCTGAGGTGAGGCCATATGCCCAGTGCTGGTATTTATGTAGAGGGATGGAAAGGATGAGATGAAAGATTTGTCTCCGGTGCCCTATACAGTAACTGTTACTCTAACTCTTCTTCCCAAAAGCTGTTGTCCTTGAACTTGTACAGCAACAAATTGTACCAGCTGGGTGGCCTGTCTAACATTATACAAAAAAAAAAAAATCCACTGTCATAGAGTTGATTTCGACTCATACCAACCCTATACTGACATTATATAGAAGGCCCCTGTCTTAGTCATCTAGTGAGGCTATAACAGAAATATCACAAGTGGATGGCTTTAACAAAGTGTATTCTCTCACAGTCCAGTAGGCTAGAAGTCTGAATTCAGGGCGCCAGCTCCAGGGAAAAGCTTTCTGTCTCTATCGGCTCTGGAGGAAGGTCCTTGTGATGCATCAGTCTTCCCTTTGTCTGGGAGCATTTTAGCGCAGGAACCTCAGGTCCGAAGGACACGCTCTGCTCCTCGCACTGCTTTCTTGGTGGCATGAGGTCCCCATGTCTCTCTGCTCGCCTCTCTCTGTTATATCTCAAAAGAGATTGGCTTAAGACACTGTCTAATCTTGCAGATCTCATCAATATAACTAGCACTAATCCATCTCATTACATCATAATGATAGGATTTACAACATATAGGGAAATCACTTCAGATGACAAAATGGTAGACAATCATACAATACTGGGAATCATGACCTAGCCAAGTTGACAGATATTTTGGGGGGACACAATTCAATCCATGACAGTAACAATGCTCATCAGGGTGATGACAAGAGGCAGGAAGGTGCCTGTGGGTGAGGATGAGGGCTGGGGCTGCAGGGGCTCAAATGTCTTTCTTTCCCTGGGACTCTTCTCCCTGGTTTCCTCCCCATTTTTCTCAGCTGAAGTCAGCCTGGGAGTTGGACAAAATGAAAGGACCTCATGCCAGCCAGGGGCTGATGAAAGACAGGGCAGCAGCAGGGGAGCCATTTCCCCTTTCTTCCCTCCTTTCTCCCTAATCCCCACCACCCACAATAAACTTCTTAGCCTTGCCTTTCCTTGGCTTTCTCTTTCTCTTTAGTCTCCACTCCCCTCTGTCTCCCCTCCCTACCTGCACTCCCTTTCTGCCCTCATCCCCTCCCTGCCTCCTGAGCCTGCCTCACTTATCTCCCTCCCCAGCATCCAGAGCCATCCCTGGGGATGTCCTGGTCTTGTCCATGGCCAGGCCTGGGAGAGCACTGGGCACCTGGTGAGGGAGCAGAGCCCTGGGCCCCACCCCTTTCCCTCCTCCCTCTGGAGCCTTCCCTGGGGACTTGGAGGGAAGTAGTAGGTGAGGCAGGGAGGGGAAGGAATCCCTGGAACCTGGGCTTCACATGCTGCCTCTGTGTCACCAGAGAAGTGGACCTGGGCCATCCCGTGGGAGCTTCCCAGGAGAAGGAGAGGGGGAGAGGGATGTGGGGAGAGAGGTAGAGAGGCTATGCCTTTAAGACAGTCCATATGGGAGATGCCCAGTGCTCTGCAGGAAAAGTGGACCCAAGACCCCTGAACTCAGGGTGAGGGTGGTAGCTCTGAGGGCTGCTGGATGGGCAAGACATGCTGGGCTCTGTTCATGGTATCAGCACAAAGCAGGCAGCCTATCATGGAACTGTTAATCACTTCCTCATATTTTTGATTTTGGACAGTGCCATGCGGGATTGTTTCCTCAAGTGGTTATGCTTGGTAAGTGCCTACCTCCATAATTGTCTCCTCTCACTAACATTGATGACCTGCACACTTGCCCTCAAGTCTTTTGTGTCTTGCCTAGCTTACACTTTTGCATTGGACTCTTACCCTTTTTAAAGGGAATATGGACTCCTAAAAAAGGCATGGCTACTCTCCCTTGAAAAATGCCCATAAACACACACCCACATACATACAGACACACATTGCATACAGTAGTAGAGGCTTCTAGGACCCCATTGTGAAGACACTGATTTTATTCTGGCTAATAGAATTTTCAGGGCCATTTCACACCTGACATCTGACCTTCAGTCCCCTCTGGGTCTATTCATCTCATTGCTGATCCAGTGCCACCTCTCTGGTCTCCATTGTTGACTTCTCTTCTCCAGGATGGCTAGGAGTTACCTTCACCTATTTCTGTTGAAATTGAAGCCCTTGAGATAATAAATTCCTGCAAGGTGAGTTGGAGATATCAAGCAAGATTTAGTATGCTGCAATGGAGGCTTTGTCAGCCACATAGTCCCAAGTTGTCTTTTAATTCCAGGAAAGCTGTAATGGATCCGAGACCCTGAAGAGTCTGGCCTTGCAATTCCTGCTTCAGTAAGCACCCCTGGGACCCAGATTCAAGAAGGGCTGGAATAGACCAAATAGGCCCAAGAATAGGTCTGCTGAGGCGGTGGGTGGGTCCAGGCCTCAGAAATAGCCTGTCCCCTTTGCTACCACACAACTATTACTTGATCCTTGACTATGGAGTCTGACAGGGTCTCCTTGATGCATACCATGACGAGGCCTGCTTCTCTCTGACCATTCCCTTCAACCTCAAGGACCCAGCCCCATGAGTATCACAGACCCTATGGACAGCCCTGGACCCTGTGACTCTCCAGCAGACAGGCCCAAAACTCATTGCTGTTGAGTTGATTCCCACTCATACCAATCCTATAGGACAGACTAGAACTGCCCCATAGGGTTTTCAAAGCCGTAATCTTTATGGAAGCAGGCTGCCACATCTTTCTCTAGTGGAGCAGCTGGTGAGTTTCAACCGCCAATCTTTCAGTTAGCAGCTGAGCACTTTAACCACTGTGTCACTAGGGCAAGCTCCTGGCAATGCCCACTCTGTCCCGACCAGTTCCTGTTCCTTTTTTTCTCCTAGAATCAGCTTGGGTGAGTACTCCAAGGGTAGCAGGAATATGAAGAAGTTCAAGGATCCTGGTAAGAGTGTGTGGGGGGGGACTGGGTGGGACAGGAGATGTGAAAGGGTCAATCATAGGGGCCAGGTGACTGAGGCAGCCCCTGACCTTCTCTTTTCTTCCCCCCGCAGTCCTGCGGGTTCAGTTGCTGAAACACACTAAACATGACGTTGTTGAGTTCCTCAGTGTGTTGTCCAAAACCCAGCATGACATCAGCTCCTTTGTGGTGGACATGTGTGTCCAGACAGTGAGCACCTGCTTCCTCCCTGACGCAGGCCCACAGAGCGGAGGTGGGTTGGAGGTGTTAGGAGGATCTGGAGAGCCTGAGTTGTTTTACCCTTTCAGAAGAAGATGCTCTGCTTTTCTCTCAATGAGTTATTTAAGGAAGGTGAGTGTCTGTAGAGTCCCTTCCCCATGTCCCACACTCTCCCTACCCCAGTGGGCTCCCTCTCAGAACTCTCCAGGCTTCCCAGGTTCCTTATTTTCCCTTGCCTTGCCCTAGCTTCACTTCCTTTCCTACGTTCTCTCTCCTTCTCTCTCTCTCTCTCTCTTTTTTTTTAAACATTTTATTATGCTTTAGGTGAAGGTTTGCAGAGCAAATTAGTTTCCCAATCAATAATTTATATACAAATTGTCCTGTGACATTGGTTGCAATCCTTACAATGTATCAGCACTCCCTATTACCACCCCCTGAGTTCCCTGTTTCCATTCCTCCAGTTTTCCTGTCCCTTCCTGCCTTCTCATCTTTGCTTTTGGGGAGATGTTATCCTTTCAATTTCATATAGATGATTGTTCTAAGGAGCACTTTCCTCATGGGTGTTAATGTTGATTTTATAAAAAACAAAAACCCACTGCCATCAAGTCGATTCTGACTCATAGTGACCCTATAGGACAGAGCAGAACTGCCCCATAGGGCTTCCAAGGCTGTAAATCTTTTACAGAAGCAGACTGCCACATCTTTATCCCTTGGAGCGGCTGGTTTATTTTATAGGCATGTCTATTATTTGGGTGAAAGGTTATCTCTGGGAGTGGCTTCATTTCCAAGTTAGGGTGTCTAAGGGCCATAGTCCCGGGGTTTCCTCCCTACTCTTTCTCTTCCCTTCCCATCCCTTCCTATTTCTTCTCTATTCTCCCTCCCCCACTTTTCCCCCAACCCACCCTGGTCTGACCTACATCCATACCTGTCTGCCCCAGCACAGCCAGGGTGTTAGGGATGCAGGCTGTGGAGTTCGATGCCTCTCATCCCAGTCCCTCACTTTGGCAGCTTGGACACTTGCTTACCTCTCAGTCTCCTCATTTGTAATACCTGTCTCTTGGGCGGCTGTGAAAAATGAGTCAGATGAACTTGTAAAGAGTTTGTCACAGGGGCTGACAAAGAGTAGGGGCCCTATCATTGGGAGGTGATTTTTCCTGTTGTTGCCCTCCCCATTGCTGACACCCCCTCCTGACTCCCAGTGGGCAGTTGTCCCTGTCTGGATCCCTTCAGAGTGCCATGGGACAGTCAGACCCTGAGTGGGGAATGCTGCTGGTGAGCGTGTAAAGCATGGGCAACTCTGAGGGGTATTGTTTGTTGTCCTTGAAGTGGAAGGAATGTGTCAGGCTCATGTTCGTGCCTTCACCCGGATCTTCATCATTACTCCTGCCAGCAACTCCAGGTAAGTGCCCTGTTGTGGGTGCCATGTGGTGACACCCATCCCAGCCTGGGGCCAGTGGTGTGGGAAGGTGACGGTGCATTCCTCAGGGTTTCCCCAATATTGCAGAATGCCAAAAGGTAGATCCCAGGAGCAGTCTAGCCCAGTGGTTAATAGTGTAGGCTCTGACGTTGGAATAGCGGGTTCTCACCCTGACCCCAGCATTCACCAGCTGTGTGACCTTGGTCAAGTTACACGACCTCTCTGTGACTCAATGTCCTCTGAAAAGGGGGATTAGAGTATCCACCTCCTTGGGCTGTTTAAGGGTAAAGGCAAGTGTGAAAGTCTCTCTGCATTGGGAGTAAAGCTACAAATCTAGTGCCGCTAGCAGGTATCTCACCAAAGGCAGGTTCTGTGGGAGGGGAAAGGATACCAGCCAAGGAATCTGAAAGGTAGGCACAGTAGGGGATGGAAAGAAAGTGGTTGCTGAATTTTAGTCCAAAAAACCTGTTGCCGTCAAAACGATCCTGTAGGACAGAGTAGAATTGTCCCATAGTTTCCAAGCAGCACCTGGTGGATTCAAACTGCTGACCTTTTAGTTAGCAGCCGTAGCTCTTAACCACTACACCACCAGGGTTTCCAAGTGGCAGTAGGGACTGGGTAGTTGTTAGAGGTGGGGTTGTCCACCTGTCTGGTTGCCTGAGGGGCTATTTTCCTCCAGCCTATGCATCATAAATGAGGTGAATGACGAGGTAATTGTGAGGAACGCCCGCCCAAAAGAGACCCAGAGTGTCTCCTCCAACCCAGTTGCCTGCACCTTCCTGGAGCTCTGTGCCCACCCTGTCCCAAAGCAGCAGGAAATGGTGCAGGCTTTCTCCACCCAGTCTGGGATGAACCTCGAGTGGTGTCAGAAGTGAGTGCTGGGAGTGCCTGAGGATGGGGGTAAGCTGGGAGGTGCTGGGAAGTAAATAATGAGAATGCACAAGAAATTTGTAAAAATTACTATTTAGAATTTTCCTTTCCAAAATAAGTTGGGCTCATGAAAAATGTGTATTAATTTTATGCTGATATATGTAAATAATTTTTTAAATAGTCTAATGCTTAGATGACATGGTCTTTTTATATGAGATCCTAAGAAAACCACTAAAAAACCTATTATATTGGTAAACCATTTGAGCAAAATTTCAAGATACAGGATCAATCTATAAAAATCAATTATATTTCTATAGACTAGTAATGAACAATCTGAAAATTAAATTAAGAAAACAATTCCATTTACAATAGCATCAAACAGAATAAAATACTTAGGAACAAATTTAACAAAAGAAGTGCAATACTTAGAGTCTGAAATCTGCAAAATACTGTTGCAATGAATTCAAAAACCAAACCAGTTGCCATCGAGTCAATTCTGACTCATGGCAACCCCATGTGTTTCAGAATAGAACTGTACTCCATAGGGTTTTCAATGGAAATTAATTAAAGACCTTAATAAATGGAAAGACATCCCATGCTCAATGTTCATAGATTGAAATAGTTAATATTATTGAGATGGAAATACTCCCCAAATTAATATACAGATGCAACGCAATCCTTATCAAAATTCTAGCTGGCTTCTTTGCAAAAGTTGACAAGCTGAACCTAAAATTCATATGGAAATGCAATAGACCCAGAATAGCCAAAACAAACCTGAAAAAGAAGAACAAAGTTGGATAACTCACATTTCTCCATTTCAAAACTTACTACAAAGCTACAGTAAATCAAGACTGTGTGGTACTAGTATATGGATCCCATTGACCCGATTGCCGTCGAGTCGAATCCGACTCATAGTGACCCAATAGGACAGAGTAGAACTGCCTCATAGGATTTCCAAGGAGCAACTGGGTGGAGAATTGAGAGCCCATAAATAAATCCTCACATTTATAGTCAATTGATTTTTTACCAGGATGCCAGAAAAATTAAACAAATCGTGCTGGGGCACTTGGATATCCACCGGCAAAAGAATGAATTTGGACTCCTATCTCACACCATATACAAAAATCAACTCAAAATGGATCAAAGACCATTTTTCACAAGGTCTTCATCATTACACACAGTTCTCATTCTGGTACATGTGTCTCAGTCAAAAAATAGCGTAGATTTAGTGGTGGCATTGTGTAGGCAGGGTGTCTGCACTGTGGTGTTAATGGAGATCACATATTCTTCTCCCACCCCAGGTGCCTTGAGGACAGTGAGCAGAACTACACCAGAGCTGGACAGGTCTTCACTATGTTTAAGGTCTAGGAACTGAGTGGGTAAATGATGCATGTTTCTGGGCCTTCAGGAAGGCCAAGAAGGTGGAGGCAAGGTGGCCTGGGGATGAAACTCAGGGCCCCTGGCTCTTTTGAAGTCCCATCTCCTTCCCTTCTCTTCCACAAGGCTGAGGGCAGGATACCAGAAGAGGCCTTCAAACAAAGTCCCTAAAAGGATCCATTGGATGTGGTCTTTGTCTTCATCCATACCATCTTTGTTTCTCTTCTCTCCAGCCTGAGGCCACACCCACGACTGGGGATGGAGGCCAGGCTGACCAAGAAGTTGAAGGTAACTTGTATGCCTGCCCCTGAACCACCTAAAGGGCCAGTTGCTCTGTGTATTTCCTCCGCTCATTATCCTTGTTTATTTTCATAATAAAGAGTGGTGTATCACGTTGTATGTTGTGTGTACTGGATTGCTCTTCTCCTGCTCCAGCCTTGAGCCACTGTGGCCAGGACTCAAAGGCCCTGCCTCCCTGTTCAGTCCTGGCAGTCTCTAGCAGACTCATCAGGCTTGCTGCCATAGGTAGGTTGTCAGTGAGAGGACACACGTTGGTTCTGTGGATTGGCCTTTGAAGACAGTGTAACTCAATCAGATGTTTTACCTGGAGTGCGTATGTTACCTGGAACAACAGGGGCTTTGCAAGGGACACCCACTGGCTAGTGAGTGCAGTGGAAGGAAGAAAAGTGGGGACTCACGTTTTACTTTTGGTTCTTACTCATTTGAATTTTTTCAAAGATCATATCGTCCACACTCCTGATTTGCACACATGTGAATGGGAAATCGGTGTTTTCACACCTCTCACCATCTTTCCACCTGTCTTCCCCTCCACCTTACTGGACCCTTCCCGTTTGTGAAGGTGTACTGTTCCAGGTGTCTCACTTGAGCACCTGCAGAGTGAGGGAGAGTCAACCGTCTGCCCAGTGCGTTCCTCAGAGAGCTGACACTGGGTGCTCCATGTTCTCATTCTTTAGGGGGTTCAACCATTTATTTTCACTTCCAAACAAACAGTAATAGCACAGGATCTCACATCAGTTCTGTAGGACTTATCTCAACAACTGGCAATTAGCTATCCAGCATTGCAGGCAAATGTTGAACAGGACACTTGTACCTCTCTAAGCCTCAGTCTTCTCACCAAGAGGACAGAAACCACAGTGTGCACCTCTCGGCCACACTGGGAAAAATAGAGGCTATCTCACTGAGCACAATTCTTGTGCTCTGAGCTCACGAGGTTCCCTTGTGGGCAAGGACCATGGAACCCATCCCCTGATCCCTCTGCTCCCTGTCTGTACATGATTGGGCTTCGCCAGCCTTGACCAGCACAGACATCACAGCCTCCCAGTCAACCACTCTCCTGCCAGTTTCCTCAATTCCCTTTGGTTCCATCCTCCAGGCTAAATGCTATTCCTGCAGTCTTCTTCCTCATACATGTCTGTGTGCATATTGTTCCATTTGTCAAGTTCTTGGGAGTGTAATTGTTGAGACAAACTGTATGTTTTCCAAAATTATTTCTGAAACTGCTGGGCAATGGGTACTCTCATACTTTGTTTCTGAGCATCTAAATTGGCATATCTATTTCTTGGCATCATTTAGGACAATCTAATGATATATACACACATAAATGTATATGCCCATACATTGGTATATAAATGGAATCATAATGTAGATACAGTTTTACATTCATTTCATTTTTTAAAATAATACTTCATTGTGTTTTGGGTGAAGGTTTACACAGCAGTTTAGGTTCCCATTCAACAATTTCTATTTAAATTGTTCAGTGACATTGGTTACATTCTTCACAATGAGTGAACATTCTAATTATTTCCGTGTTGTTCTGCTTCCAATAATGTAGTTTCCCTGCCCCCTTACATACATTCTGATTTTTGTTTTAAAGTAATTGTTGACCGTTTGGTTTCATATAGACGATTTTTTAAGTATCCATTTCATTTTAGTGTTCCAATTTATTGGCACGAAGTTATTTAAGATAATCACTTATTATCCTTTAAGTTTTTGTAGAATCTGTGTGATAGCTATTTTTTTATTGAGGTGACATTCACATAACATAAAATTAACCAGTTTAACGTGAACACGTCAATGGCATACAGTACATTCACAATGTTGTGCAACAACCACCTCTATCTAGTTACAAAATATTTTCGTTACCCCAAAGTAAAACCTGACCTGTTTAGCAGTTATTCCCCATTTACCCCTCCCCTCAGGCCCTGGCACCCAATCTGCTTTATGTCTCTACCTGTTCAGGATATTTCATATGAATGAAATCATACAATAAATTACCTTGTATTTCTGGATTCTTTCACTTAGAAGAATGTATTTGAGGTTCATCCACATTGTAACATGTATTGGTACTTAACTCCTTTTTATGGCCGATTAATATTCTGTTGTACGTATACCACAACTTGCTTATACATTCATCTGTTGATAAGCATATTGATTGTTTCCACCCTTTGGCTATTGTGAGTAGTGCTGATATGAATATTCATGTATAAGTATTTGTTTGAGTATGTTTTTCATTTCTTATGGGTAAATACATAGAAGTGAAATTGCTTAGAAATATGGTAATTCCATGTTTAACTTTTTGAGGAACCTCCTAACTGTTTTCCACAGTAGCTGCACCATTTTACATTCCCAAAAGTCATGTATGAGGGTTACAATTTTTCTATATTCATGATCACACTTTATATTTTCTTTCTTTTTTTAAATTATAGCCATCCTTTGTGGTTGTTGTCAGGTGCCGTCTAGTTGGTTCCTATTCATAGCAACCCTATGTACAACAGAAGGAAACATTGTCTGGTCCTGCGCCATTATCACAATCTTTGTTACGCTTGAGTCCATTGTTGCAGCCACTGTGTCAATCCATCTTGTTGAGGGTCTTCCTCTTTTTTGCTAACCTCTACTGTATCAAGCATAATGTCCTTCTGCAGGGACAGACCCCTCCTGATAACATGTCCAAAGTATCCTAGTCAATGTGAAGTTGTATCTCATTGTGGTTTTAATTTGCCTTCCTAAAGGGACTGTTGAGCATCTTTTCATGAGCTTGTTAGCCATTTGTTTATCTTCTTTGGAGAAATGTCTATTCAAGTCTTGTGCCCATTTTTAATTATTAGTCTTTTTGTTGAGTTTTAAAAGTTCCTTATATATTCTGCATATTAAACCTTTATCTGATATAGGGTTTCCAAATATTTTCTCCCATTCTGTAGGTTGTCTTTTCACTTTCTTGATAATGCCCCTTAATGCAAAAAAGTTTTTAATTTTGATGAAGTCTAATTTATCTGTTTTTCCTTATTTAGCTAATGCTTTTGTGTAATATCTAAGAAACCATTGCTGAATCCAAGGTCCTGAAGATTTACCCCTGTTTTCTTCTAAGAAATTTATAGTTTTAGCTCTTATATTTAGGTCTTTGATTCATTTTGAGTTACTTTTATATCATGTGAGGTAGGGACCCATGGTCATTCTTTTTCATGTGGATAACCAGTTGTCCCAACACCATTTGTTAAAAAGACTAGTCTTTCTCCATTGAATATTCGAGGCAACCTTCTTGAAAATCAACTGGGCATAGACGTAAGGGTTTACTGACTCTCAATTCTATTCCACAGATCTTTATGTCTATCCCTATGCTAGTACACACTATTTTGGTTACTGTAGCTTTGTGGTAAGTTTTAAAAGGGGAAATGTAAATCCTCCACTTTCTTAGTCTTTTGTTGTTGTTTGTTTGTTTTCTTTCAAGATTGTTTTGGCTATTCGGGTCCCCTTGCAATTCCTTATGAATATGAGGATTGGCTTTTCCATTTCTGCAAAGAAGGTTGCTGGAGTTTTGATAGAGATTGCATTGAATCTGTGGATCACTTTGGGTAGTATTAACATCTTAACAATATGAAGTCTTCCAATCCATTAACACAGGATGTCTTTCCATTTATTTAGGGCTTCTTTAACTTTATTCAACATTTTTTTATAGTTTTCAGACTGAAAAAGGAGTCTTGCCTTCATGGAATTTACAGTCTGTTTAACGGACACTCTCTTTCTCCCCCTCACTGCCTGGCAGGGAAAATGAACAATTTCATATAATCAAGGAAAAAGAGACTATCCATTTATTAGGCAGGGTGTAGGGGTGAGAGAAAAGGAGTCAAAGAAAGCAGCTAGAATCTACTTTCAGGATGTGAACTGGAGGGGCTTCTTATGGACAGGATGCTAAGTCTTGAGCATCTTCCTCAACCTTCCTACTTCTGTCCCCTTGCCAACCTGCCCATCTCGGTGGGCTTTGGGCTCTGAAGAAATGAATACATGAACATAGCAGACTTTGGTATCCGTCCGCTCTGTCAGGCCAGAGCTGATTTATTGACGTCACCGCCTGGAACTCCTGTACAAAAAATGGTAGGCTTCGTGGAGGGAGCTCCTAGAAGGGAGCATCAATACCGAGACACTTTTGCATCAGTCCGCTTCTCTCAGTTTCGACGCTTCTTTTCCTACATCCAGATCTTGCTCCTGCCCGTTCCAGTACCAGAAACAGCCAGGTAGGCGGAACAGAGCTCTCCGACACAGGGAGAGGTGTAGCTATGCAAAGCTAGATATCATTCCGCCTCTTTAAGTCTAGATAACCTTAAATTACACTCCAGCAGCTCAGCTGCCGATTTTGGTATTGGAGACGTGACAAGTCGGCTGAGGAAAAGGTAGATGTTAATTAGTGACTGCCTGCGGGTACCTGAAGAGCGGGAAGAAGGGAACACCAAAAAGTGACAATTATTTACTAATTACGGCGCTTAATCTGATGAAGTAGGTATCTCGCCTTCTGTCCCAGGTGCTGGGCCATCCCCCAAACACGGTCGCCCGCCATTGTCTCATGTCTTTGTGCCTGATTGCCCGTCCCTCTTTCTGTAGGGCATGGCACTCCTTGAGGCAAGGAAACGAGAAAACTACCTCTGATCCAAGAAGAGCAGGTCAGTAAGAAAGCGAGCATCGCGGGGTGTGGATGTGGGTATCGGAAATGAACGCGAGAAACGTGATTTGGTCATGAGGGGCGGCAGATGAGAGGGAGGAGAGCGATGGGGATAACTGAGTGGCACACGACGAGAAATTAAAACTGATACGCTTCTTGCTAGCTTGATTTCCAGACACTCACCCCACCTTTGACCATGTTTGGGAAGGAAAGGGGTGTATGTAATAGCGACTTCTAGTGGGGGGATGGTGGACTATAGGAGGAGAAGGGTTTGCCGGTATTGGTGAGGACAGTTGTCTGGGAAGCCCTGGAAGGGAGAGGCTGTAAAACGAGGTTGTAAATTTTTAATAATCAAGTGCCTGTACTCAAAAAGTGTCTCATGTCGTGGCTACTTGTCTGACCTTTTACAGCTAAATCGCTCCCACTGTCTTTTCAGTTGGTCTTCGAGTGTGTATGCATGCGTTTGTATCTGTAGGTCTGTTCTTAAGTCTGTCGTACTTCATATTTCTGTAAAGATCTATAGGGAGCAGCAGACCACAACGGGTGGGGAGAAGAAAATTGTCTTGGTTTCTGTAGGATGGGAAGTGCTTGGGGACCTCTTGAGGGGTGGAGGTGGTAAAGGGATGAGACTAGAGCAGGTAGGGGTCTAGAGGAACCTCCAGATCTCCAGCTTTCCAAATATATCCTCCCTTACCTCTATTATGCTGCAGAAAATGATACACTTTGGGTGAGGGGAAGGAAACAGGAACCTAGATGAAATCTGGGAATAATACTTTCCGTTGCTTTCCCTGCCGACCTCCATGGCTTGCCTGGGCATTTCATCCCTATTAACACCACCACTACCTTGCAGAGAAAGGGATGTTTGAGTTTGTGTCTGCAGAGGAATCGTCAGACTTTAAGAATGGAGCTGCGGGGCTTGGAGATTTGGGGTCGTGGGGGAGAAAAAGAGGTAGAAAATGCGATAGGTACCTCTATCTGGAAACAATCTGTGTCCTAGGTGCCAGTCTCCAGTCTATCCTGTGTCTCCGATTGTGTACCTCTGTGTTTGTGTATCTCTGTGGGCAGGTCTGTCCCTAGGTCTTTGGAACTCTGAGTTGTTGTGAAGGTTTATAAATGGCAACCCAACTTGAAGCTAGGAAATAATGAAGAGGAGAAAATTGCCCTGTATCTGTTAAGGTTGGTATGGGTGTAGAGGAACAGGAGGTGATTAAGACTAGACAATTCCATCTCTTCCATTTTACCAGCTTTCCAATAACCCCTGTCTGGATCCCTGCTGATTTAGATGTGAAATTTTGGTACACTTTGGGGTACAGAATGCTAAGACCTGCCTTTCCCACTCATTACTTGCTTTGCTTGCTCTCAGGCTTCACCCTAGCCCAGTTTTGAGCTAGGGAAGTGCCAGGGCTGTCCCTGAAGTGGAAATGATGGGCAATAGGGAGGAGGAAGAACATCCCTGAAGCAGGGCAATGGGAGAAGGAGGCCAGAAGAAGGGAAACACCAGACAAACTGTATCTGGGAAGACAAAATCTGTCTACCATTTCCTCCTTTTTTTTGTCCATAGATCTCCCTGTAGGTCTGTTGTAGGGCTTGTCACCACTGGAAACAAGTAAAGGAGGAGAAAAATTGCTCCAGATCAGTACAGGTGGGTATGAATGTGGGGACTGCCTGGATATATCTGTAGAATGGGGTAGTAGAGATCTGATTGGGTCCAGCAGGGGTCAAGATCCAATCTAGGGATTCCTCAGTCTCTCTCATTCCCATCCAGTCTTCCCACCCTCCCTATTCCTGTCTGGTGCCCAGAAAGGAGTTTGGTAGCACCTGGAAGCATAGGGAGACAGTGAAATGAGAGGTGAGAGAAAGTTTGCTAATCATCTACCTCTCCTACCTAGAACTGAATCTCCATACTCTCTTGTCTCTCTGTGCTAATCTGTGTGGAGAGACAAAATTGGAAGAGACTCAAAGCCCCATTTCCTTCCTCAAACCCTAGGTCCACCTTCAGTGGCTGATCTGGTGGCCTTGAAGTGGCTGAAGACCACCACCCTCCACAGTGCTGCACCCAGGCACACAGCCATCCTTCCCTACCCTGAGTGATCTTCCTCTGAACATTGTCTATATCATTAGCAGAGCCTATGGTTGGAAAGGGGGCTGAATAACTACTGGACTTTGTATGAAAACACCAACTTGGGGTAGACCTTCAGTCAAAGCTAAGACTGGGGTGGGGTTACATAACTTGGCCTTGTCTTTAACTTGAACCACGACTGGTTCCAGGGCCAGGGCAAGAGGTAGAGTATGGGCTGGGGCTGGCCTGGAAGCTGGAATCAAGGGCCCCTCCAAAGCCAGAGCCAAGGCAAAGACCCAGGCCAAGGCAGTGGCTAGGGCAAAACCCAAAACAGGCTCAGTGACTCAGGCCAAGTCTAGGGATGGAACAGTGGCCAAGACACAAACCATGACCCACACTGAGGCTTTGGCTGTGACAAGGGAGGTGAGCAGGAAAAAAAAGTCATGGCTGAGACTAATGCAAAAATGGTGGCAGAACCCAGAGTAGTGTCCAAAATCAAGTCAGAAGCCGTGCCTGGGTCCAGCGTCAGTGCCATGACCCAGTCTGAAGTCAAGACTGGTGCTGACAATGAGGTCATGTGTGATGGCTGATGATAAGGTCAGTATTGAGTCCAGGCCCCAGATAAAGGAAGAGGCCAGCGTCAAGTCCAGGGCTGGTAACAAGGCTAATATTGGAATCAAGCCCAATGATGAGGATGAAGAAAATGTCTGCTCCTGGTTCTGGACTGGAGAAGAACCTAGTGTAGGGTCCTGGTTCTGGCCTGAAGAAGAGACCCCTCCTCAAGTTTATAAACCCCCACCAAAGATCGAAGAAAAGCCCAAGCCCACACGCAAAACTGAACTTACTATAAAGCAAAAAGCAGCAGCATGGTCAAAGGCCAGGTACAGTGTCCTAGTCCCAAATGAGGGAGGAGAGCATTCCTTGCCTCCAGAAGGGAATTGGACTCTAGTTGAGGCCTTGATTGAAACTCCTTTGGGGATTCGGCCTCTGACCAAGATCCCACCCTATGGTGGGCCTTACTTTCAGACCTTTGCTGAGACCAAAAAAACAGATTAGGTATAGGGAAAAGTATGGGCCCAATCCAACAGCCTGCCACTGCAAACCATGTGGCTTTAGTTTAGAGCCTAAAGAGTTTGATAAACTTGTTGCTCTACTTAAGTTAACTAAGGATCCTTTCATTCATGAAATAGCTACAATGGCAATGGGCATCAGTCCTGCTTATCCATTTACTCAAGATATAATTCATGATGTAGGTATTACTGTTATGGTTGAAAACTTGATCAATAATCCCAATGTTAAAGAACACCCTAGAGCTCTAAATATGATAGATGACAGCTCTGAGTCTTCTGAAGAATCAAAAAGGGGAGAGGCATACATAAGTTTGTAAGGACATACTCTCCTATCCCTTGAACTCCCCTGTGCAACTGTCTGGACTAAAATTATTAGGGCACCTGAGTGTAAAATTTGAGGATCACCATATGGTCATCAATTACATTCCAGATTTCCTTACCTTGTTGAACAAAGGAAGTGTTAAAACCAAGTTTTTTGTTTTAAAAGTGTTTTCGTACTTGGCTAAAAATCAAGCCAATACAAGAGAACTGATCAGTGCCGAAGTACTGTCATCATTGGTTGCACCCTTTAACAAGAATGAGTCAAAGCCCAATATTCTTACTGTCATTGAAGTATTTGAGAATATAAATTACCAATTCAAAAAGAGGGTGAAGCTGTTTACCAAGGAACAGTTCACTAAATGTGAACTTATTTCCATATTTCAGGAAGCAAAAGAGTTTGGTCAGAAACTCCAAGACTTAGCAGAGCACAATGATCCTGAGGTGAGAGGTAAAATTATACGACTAATACTCAAACTCTGAAGAGCCATATGTTCTCACAAACCCTTGAACAGTTTTTCTGGTGTTGGCAATGTGAAACCAACGCACGTTAAAATTATAAATTCAGTACTTATGTTATCTGCGTTGATTGACAGGGTCAGTTTTATGGATACCAAATGATCCTGACAGCATGAACACCTGATTTTATTGTGCTATGTAAATTGAGATATTTTTAGTCGTTTTGTAGCATAATCTGATAGTGAATCTATTTGTCCTGAGTAAGATATACATCTGTGCTTTATATTGACAAAAGTGTATTCATTTGAGACTTCATTTATATGTTGTTAATAAAGTTGTGTGCTAAAACTGGTGAAAATATTGTCCTAGTTTTTTAGTTGAGAGTCTAGTCAGAGGAAAAAGGCACAAACAACACAAAGATGATGAATAGTTCTGTCTGTGTGTGTCTGTACAGGATTACAAACAAAACTCCATGTTGACAGATGCTTTCGTTTCAACATGTTCAAGGAGTAGAATCACTTTGTACGCAAGAAGACAGGACCATGCTACCAGCTGACTGCAAGTCCCAGCTGACAGGGCTCCCAAGTGAAGAATGAGCCCTGATCTGGGCAGCTCTGGGGAAGGGGGTACGGATACAGACTCAGCAGGAAGGGAACACATGCTTTCATTCCAGTCTGGGTCCCAGAACTTGTGCTGGGACTTTCATATAGGATGACTTATCTGAATACCTTGAAGCTTTTGAATCCCCATGGGGATTCCTGGTTCTCACCCTCATTCAGCAATGCCCTGGGCAGCTGGCTAGGAAGTGTGGTTCTAAAGGGACTCAGCCTCACTATGTCTTCAACAGCCTCCTCCCCATCAAAGGGCACCAGGTTTGTTGCTTCATTTGAGGCTTCCTCCCCCTGCAGTCCTAGGCCTCAGAGGAGGGTCTTTCTTCATACCACCTACAGAAACTGCTTCAGGGATAGTCTCACTTGACCCACTTTGGGGACTATTTACTCTCATCCTTGCATTTGTTTGCTAGCCAATGCTTTGGACTTGGTGATTTGCACCTATACTTGGTGGCAGCCCTTTGTGCTAATCCCTTTTGTCAGATCTCAGCTCTATCACACAGCCAAACGATAGCAAAGTACTTTAGAAAAGTGTCGTTAGGAAGAAATTAATTCCCCTAACCCCACTAATCTAGGTATTTATTTGCACAGTTAGCAGATTTGAAGCCATGTTGTCTCTACTACTTCAGCTCCTCCTGTTCATACTAATCAAAAGCTATGTTCTGGCTGGGGGTTTGTGATATGGAACAGCAGAGTATAGGCTGGGAACTAGGGGACACCTCTGCCTTTCCTTCTCCCTGATCCTTTGCTGTTATTATCCTCTTCCCTTGATTGCCCAGAATTGAGAAATACAGGTATTATGATCAGTGTAAAATGCTGGCCTTTCTTTTGAAATTCCACTGTCCCCTAACTCTTTATGTATTTGGAGAAAGGCGTAAACTGAAAATCTCAACATGATGTCATGCACCCCTAGTTTTTGCAGTTATCCCTGGTTTAATTTCTATTAAGGCCAGGTCTGAACCTATCTTTCCTATAACTAGGAGTTAGAATAAAGGACACCAGCCACACTTGTGCATCAAGGGTGAAAAAAAGCAGGGTAGATTTTTGCAATGTATAGCTGTAATTTAGATGATTTTTGAAGTCCTTTATAATTTGTTATTTAATCCACGAACTCCCCTAGCCTGGAATTCCAGCTGCGGGTACTGCTGTCAGAGTTGGGAATCTTCATAATACAATCTGACCAGACCCACTGAAAATATTGTGTCTCAAATATTTTGTGGAGAAGACACTTAATCAGCTCATGGCTATGGAATTTTCCAACCTTAGCTAAAGAAAAGGGTGAGTGGGGTGTGTGTGTGTGTGTGTGTGTGTGTGTGTGTGTGTGTGTGTGTGTGTGTGTAGCCAAGCAAGAAGTTGATGGTCTCTTGTGGGGTGGTAGTTGTGGGAGACAGGATCATGCTTCAAATTGTTCCTAGGGTGTGCTTGAAGTCAAAACCTCATTGCTTGCTCTACCTTCTTGTTTCTTCTCCCTTCCTGGAAAAATAATTTGGGCAAGCCCATGCAGTATCAGGGCTGGTCCAGATGTTATCTATCTTAAAATGTTGCTGCCTGGGAATAAAAATCAGTGTGGACTCCTCATCTTACAACACAGCCGCACTATTAGCACCAATTGACCCACTACCCCATCCCCAACTATAAAAGAGCAACCTTCAGTGGGAGCTCATCTATAAGATATCACCAGATTCTTTAGCAAGGCTTTCAAGGCTCTGTACCCTTGAGCACCTTTCCATTTTTCCCCTTATATTCCTCCATGTGGCCTGCACTCAAACCATACTGGGCTATTTGCTGTTTCCTTATTATATTATGCATTTTCCTACTTCTGTGCTTTTTCCCATGCTGTTCACTCATCCTAAGGTGCTCTTACAACCTTTTTCATGTCTATGGGAAAACTATTCATTCTTTTAGGCTCAGCTCAAATGCCAGGATTTTGAAGTCTTTCCTGACACTCTCACCCTCTCCACCCCCATATTGGAATTAATAGCTCCTTCTGCATTTCCAGAATTCTTTATTTTGTGTCTTTATGCCTTGTATGGGAATCTTCTCTTATTTAAGCCAGAGCTTTCATTTGGAAACAGAGAAAGAAGCTTGGGCTTTGGGAGTTGTGAATCAAACCCCGGTGTGTCTGACTACAAATCCTGAACTTTTATTATGTATAATAATAATAATAATTATTATTAACATTTATTGAGTACTTACTGTATGCCAGATACTGTTCTAAATGCTTTACTTATATTAACTCATTTAACTCTCAGAACATCCCTATAGAGTAGGTACTGTTGTTATCCACATTTTACATATGAGGAAGCTGATGGGGTAAGTAACTTGGCCAAGCTCACTGAGTTGTTTAGTAGTGGAGCTGAGATTCAAACCTTTGCAGTCTGAATTTAGAACTAGCATGTATAACCACTTTGTACCTATGTACTCCTAGGACTAGCTATCAATTAAAAGCCAGCAGCAGCAGCAGCAACAGCTTCTCTGTACTACACAGCTCCTAACTTAAACCTGAATATTATTAGACCTCCTGTCCCTTATTTCTTTTGCTTTCTCCCTTTGTATCATCTGTCTCCTGCCATACCTTCCTTCCCTACTCAATTAAGTGTTCATGGTCCATCACTTTTACCACTTTCTTGCCAGTATCCTGTACTGCATTGCCCCATTGTCCTGATGTTACAACCACCTAGGAAAACCAATGACTTGCCTCTTTTCTTCTTTCACACATGTTGCTTGACACTGTTAGAGAAAGTCACAAAATCTTTATGAATTTATTAAACATTTCCAAGCTCAACTTGGTCCTATAATCCTGTATTATCAGAATCAGCTGTCTTTCCCATTCATTTTAATGACTATTTCACTTCTCCTCTGTTCTCTTCAAACTCCTAAACTCCCTACCCCCTTATTGTCTTTTCCTTCCTTTTCAACATATGATCTTACAGAGAAAACAGAAGTAATTTTTTTTAAAAAAAAACCTCCTTCAACTCCCTGCTCCCAAGTCCAAAACTTACCTCTTCCTTCATATAACCTTTCTTTCCTCCTATTACAGTGGTGAAGATGTCCCTCCTCTTACCTAATTTCATTCTCTCCTTTTGTTCTTTGAATCCCATCCCGTTCCATCTTCTTGGGGACTTGCCTTACTGATTATTCCCATTCTCTCATGTATTTTTAACCCTACTTTTTCTGTAGGTTCCTCCATGTCTGTATGGGGAAATATATACATTTTTCCCATTGGAAGAGGAAAAAAAAAAAAACCTTTCCCCAACTCCAAATCCACACACGTTGCCAGCTACCATCCTATCTCTCTCCACCCTTTCACACTAAAATTTTGAGTTTTGTAAATTGTTATTTCTGCCTTCTCATTTCCTACTTAGTCCTCACTCAATTGTAGTCTATTTTCTTTCCCTACCACTCTACTGTCACTTTGCCCCCAAGATCAACAAAGCCTCCATATTCCCTAAAGGAAACGATAATTTAAAACTTTTAAATTTCTATTTTAACATGTTGTTAGGAAATAATGCTTCTTCTCTACTTTTGGTTTATCCTTCCATGTGATGGGAGCTTCATTATAATAATATCTCTGGCTTTTCTGTGCCCACCCCCCCCCTTACTCACTCTTGCTGTTCCCTCTTCCTTTTCTCTTTGGAAGATGGCCTTTCTACAGAGGGCTGTACCCTTATTTGCTTCTCCATACCATAGGTTTTCAAGGGTACATTGGAATAGGCCTCCAGTTTGTAATTTGGTGGAATAATTTATGAAATTGTGGGATTTATTATTAGGAAGACTACTTGATCAAAGATCTAAGTCACATTCTTCCATATAAGATATATCAGTAACAAAAATGATATGTTGATGAGAATCTGCTCTACTTCTTTTACTCAGTTTATTCAGAACTTGGGTAGGGGAAGAGGATTGATATTTATTGGGCTCCTCAAACCCTGACACCTGTAATACCTTAATGCAGTCTGGTTTCAAAAGATCAAACATTACAAATTAAGCTAAAGATTTACTTAACTAGAACCCCCCAACCCCGCAGTCTCCTTTCTAGAGGAAACCAATATTGTAGTTTCTAGAACTTTTCTATGCATTACCTACATACAAATATATCCAACTGTTCTGAAAATTATTTTTAATAATAAATGTTATCATAGTATATGTATTACTCTGCAGCTTTTTTTTCAATAATATGTCTTGGAGGTTTTCCATGTAAGTATGCATCTGTCTCTTGTTAGTGCTGGAGAGTATTTCATAATATCTCAATATCATGTTTTATTTATCCATTCTCCTACCAATGTAAAATTAGGTGGTTGTGCCCAGTTTCTTACTATTATACACAGTGCTGCAGTGAATATCCTTATACATGCCTCTTTGGGCATGTGTGAGAGTATTTCTCTGGGTGATTCTGAGAAAAAAGACTCCTGA